AAAACTCATAACTTCATAAAATGTTTAGTTGACGCATAATAACACGTAGCTTGCAATAAAACTGGCAAAAAGTAGACACCTAAACTAATGAACCCGCAGTAAGTTAATAAGTGACAAATATGTTGTTATGATCGTAACCACCTCAAAAAAGCACATGTAAAAATCTGAAGTACGATCCCATGGCCCCCTTGGACGTGGCAATACATTTTTTCACGAATTAAAAACCCACCGCCGAAACAAGAATCCAATTGGACTCTGGGCACGCCATATCGTGTCTACAGTGCCGTGGCATCAAATGAACAAATGCACGTCCGTGCCATGGTATATATATATATATATATATATATATATACCGTCGCTGGCGAAGAAAACCATCTGGCCTCCTCGCGCGTATCACTTCCGCTGCCGTGCGTGCGGTCCAACCAACCGAGCTCCGAGGCTTCAATTGATAAGCCCTCCTTTTCCCCACCGCGTGCAAGTGCAACCTCGCGCCTCTACTCGACGCCCCGCCGATCCGCATATAGGTATAGGTACATTTTTGCCGAGTGAATGAATTCGCGTGCCCGGATAATCTTATCGCCCACCGGACAAACAGTCTGCCAACACACCCCTCCCCCCCCCCTCGGTAATGGGATACAGCCCTCCCTCCCCCTCTCTCTCTGTGTTTATACTTTAGCGAGGAAGCCCGATGAATGAGAGTCGACTCCCGTAGGCCTTAACTACCTATTGTGTGCTCCTTCGGTGACATTAAGTATATACACTATCCGGTGGCTGCAGATTTTTTCATGAATTTCACGCAAGCTCGCTCCTGCAGCTTCCCTTGTGCATAATAATATAATATACACACATGGTTCGTCAAATGGATGCGTGCCGCGTTAATTACACCGTATCACCACCGTGTTACATTGTAATTCGTGCGATTCAATGGGAACTGTTAATTCCACGCGTGTATGTGACTTACCTTCCGAGCCTGTACGAATCGCGTATATATACGGTAATAATACAAGTATGGGCGCCGGGTTGTACGTTGCGATAAAATATGATTCAAGTTAGTCAAAATAAAGGCTTCGAGTGTGTCATATATTATATACGAGGGTCACATGTGTTACAGGTGCCTGCAGCGCTTTTTTTTTAGCCGGATTGTGCTATATATATATATAACGTTTTATAATGCTATGTGTATGTATGCTGCCCATGCCGTAAAGTTTGCGATTTCGCGACTGGGAGGGTAAGCTGATACTTATACTTTATATATCGTGCATACTTAACTTTTTTTTCCCTTTCGTTTCCGGAGGAAATATTATACTTAGAGCAACATCGGGGTAAGTACAATACAAGTAACAGCAGCAACGTTGAAGATGATGACTCACCCACGCAGAGACTAAGAGAGAGAGAGAGAGAGAAATGAAGGAGCAAGTGATCTCCATCGCAAAATGAGGAGCTCAGTTGCGCTTCTCTCTCTTTCTTTCTCTTTGGTCATGTGTATATCATCATCTATACGGTATTTCGTATTGGGCATGATACATTGCGGTCCAAGTATTGTTTCGCTACCGTTTGATTTCTTACTACTTGACAAGATTACACGAGCATAATATCTCACAGTCGGGAGTTTTGGAGTTGAGAAAAAATTAGTATATTTACACACGATACAGGGGTAAAGTTTTGTGAGTAAAAATCTTGATAGCTTTTTTTTTTTTTTCGTCACTCCGAGCTGATGCACTGCACCCAACCCACCGAGTGTCTCGACACTTTAGAAGGTATAGCACAGTAGGTGTGTGCAGACGGATGGATGGATTACAAGTGCGGGTGCATGGCACATCGGATTGATAAGCAGATATCGAATTCCATATCTGTGGCCGATTCCGCTAATGCCGATGCGCGCAAAAGTCAGCGGTTGTATATATTATAGAGAATTAATGCCCTTATTACGGAGAAGCGCGTGTCGGGACGTGATGTATGGGTGTCCCGTGGTTTATTGCAGCGAGAAGCTGCGTTTCATTTTTTTTTCCCCCCCCCTTTCTTTCTTTCTGTTCATCTAATCCTCGTGGATCTTATCCCTCGAAGAGATGTGACGATCGTGTGGACTCGTGGATTTTTGAGAGCGGCTGTGAGTCACTACCGGTTTTGAGGGAACGGAACACCTTGGGTACGCCGCTCCACGGAACTTCTTACAGATTAGCTTGTTTTCAAATTAGACAGGAGTTTAAAGCATATGAATGAATGTACCTACGGATTTTATGGTATGTACGGAACGTCGAGGAAGGAAAAGGAAGTTCCTTTGCCAGAGGTAGACTTTACTTGAAATCGTGACTTTTTTTTCATTCATTAAACCTATAATACGTACAACACTGTAAACTATTTTATAAAATTCATCTCAAACGTGACTCACAAGTATAATCCTAATGCGATTGGATTGTGATTTCGTATCTATACAACTTTATGCCTATAAAGGTACAGTCTTTTTTTTTATAAAAATCTTATTCTTTCTTTTTTAGATTCCTGTTTTCCAACTTTGGTGGTACATAGCTGCTCAGCTGTTGTTCTGTGTTTTGAGGTAAGTCAATAACAGTTTGCATCGATCCTTGACTCGTACACGGCACAGTTGGCAGAGTATACGAAAAGGACTTGCGATGCGTGTAAGATAATAGATAGGTTCGAATCACCAATCTGGTCCAGTCATGTACACAGAAAAAGTGACCCAAACGGCTTATGATACATTGTGACGATATTTGTCAAAAATGGCTTTTCAAATTTTTTTAATTCTAAATTATTACCATTGTAAAATTTATTTTCAAGTCTTACGTTATAAAAAATCGATTTATCAAAATGTAGTCGATATGACCAGCTCATGGATTAAACAATCCCACAATTATGCAAATCGTATGCAAGTAAAGCGTATCCATGTATAGCTCGACAATCTGCATTTGAATCTAAAGTGAATGTGAATAGTTGACGTAATGAAGTATAATTGAATCTGGTGGAAAGTTAGCTGCGCACAAAAATCCTTTTTTTCATCTCGGCATGTCGCAAAGTATTCACAATATACAAACTATAGTCAAAACACACAATTGTCACAGGATGGCGTTCAAGGCTTCAAAACTGTTTTAATAACATCCAGACGTACAATTGCGGGTAGCCTTGATCGGAGAGACACATACGCGCTCTCACTGGCAGATAGATCCTTCGCGATTTTTCCCGTGACGCCTTGGAAAAAAAAAAAAAAAAAAAAGTATAATCAGACGCCGCGTACTTGCAATACATGCACCTGCCCGCGCGTGTACTTGACACGACAATAATCTCGGCTAATTATTGCTCTCTTTGTGCCTCTTCTTTCTTCCCTTGGCGCTACAATAGTCATCATATTAATTGTCGCCCGAAGATCACTAGGATCTCGACTGTGTGAGCGTGAAAAGCTATTATGGATGATCTTCGATCGGTTGTCACGGCTCACCCTGAAACATCGCGTCCAATGCTCGATCGGACAGCGCGAGGTTTTTCCATCTCATGATTGCATCTCGAAACAGGAATTTTTTTAGATCTAAATTCCCCCCCAAAACCCCGCCCAGGTGAGGTGCAGTGAAAAGAAAATCGACCCGTCCAATTAGAGCACCTGATGTATGGACGATAGGTATAACAATTGCATTGAAATCCCCGCAAAAACAGTGATCTCAATTAGCAGAGAACCCCGGCGCTTGTTGTCGAGAAACACGAAAACAATAGAGATATCCGACGAGAATGTTGTTTACCCGCCTGTTTGCCATCGCTGTTAAAAAAAAAAAAATGAGTACATATCTTTGAAATGTTTTCAAGGTGCGCGAAAAAAGGAGGAGGCGCATCAAGTATATTCTTCTCGAGAGAAATACCTGCACGGCGATCACTCATTTTTTTTCATCGACTTATGTTGTTGGGTATTGTTTTTTTTTTTTTTCATCGTAACACATGTGCGATCAACGAGTTCACCACGCAGTTATTTTTCACGTGAACAGAGCGTGGGTGGGGGGTCAGGTGAATCTCATCGGAAAATTCACATGGAACGTGCGATATTCATCGAAAGAGTTGGGCACTCGTGAATGTTTTTATTATTTGGTTGAACAAACTCGTGCTTTGGGATGACTCGTTTGTTGTAAACAAGAGCCCTGGATCGATAAAAATCCACGTAAACAAGACGATCATTATTGGTAACTTTTTTTTTAACATGTTTACACTTTTACATCGTCCAGGTATACAAATAGTGTTGAAAACAGAGTAAAGACCGTCGCGTCACTTACAGCCAATCGATACAAAATGATTCACCATCGCGAAAAATTCGAAAGCACGAAATCACAACATGTACGTATTAGCGAGTATCAGGTAGGTATATATATATATGATCTAAGACAAATCCACGGCGGTACAAAAAGCCATAGATCACGCGTGTGTATACGGCGCGGCGAGCTTTCTCCGCGTCATAACGAGCCCACGATCATCATCGCCGCGACGTCTAAAAATACGGGGCACAGACGACGATTCGAGAGGAGCGAGAGTGAATCAATCCGCAGGAACTCGGCATCTATTTCACGTACAATGTGCGGTACACGGGAACTCTCGCCAAGCGCGCTCCTCCTGCAGCTCACTTGAGGGAGCTAAATCGAGAGATTCTAATTCCTCCTTCGCCTCGTGGTATCGCCGAGTGTTGCTCTCTCGGGAGGCTTGCACTTGCCTTCTCGTATCGTTCGGTACTTTCGAGCTTTGGAAAAGCACGATACCGCTGTCGCCCTTACCGCCAAAGGTAAACAGTGTGTTGGTTCGAGCGAAACGAAATCCAACACGTACACACGCCTATACACTCGGGTGCTCGGTGTACTCGCAATGTTTATTTACGATCGAGGTAACAGAGCGCCCATACGTGAGGAAGTCGGCGATCGGACGGTCAGTGTGGCCGAGCCCATCGCTGGTGTACATTATTGTCGGTGCCGCGGGAAAAAAGTCGCGAGTTCGCGCCAAGAGCCGAGAAGAAAAGCTGTCACTCGAGAGAAATGCATCATCGGCGCTCGCACCGTTGGCTGCAGCATCCGCCATGGGACATACAGCCGATTTGAAGGGGCGCCGAGCCACAGTCACGGGAGCTTTCGCTCACGTACGTAAGTACAACCGAGGAGGGAACTGCTGCTGGCCTTTGGGCGCGTATTTTTCCTTCCCCCCTCTCCCTCTTTTTTTTTTTTTTTTTTTGATCCTCCTTTGATTTTTCCCTACTGTGCGGTCACCTTTCGACCATCCTCCTACAGCATTGTTTCTAACAGCGGCGAGAGGGCGACCCCTTTCGTGGAAAAATCCGAGGTGTGCCTGTATACAGCTCCTCCGTCGGCCGTAAATCTCGGGTTTGTCGACTTTCGCGTCCTAATCGCTACTTCTTCCACTCGGTGATTAATAGTCGCTTCGCTCGTATACCACACGCGCGCATCGCACGCGGCGTCGCTTTGTCGTTGTTTCTTCCGGGTATATCGATCGAAATTGTTAATAGTGCTTTTTCCTATGTCCATCCGTACCTTGTGCCGACACTCCTTTTTATACAAAGTTCCTTACCAGTCAACAATACAAAAGTAACATCAGCTAATCGCATGATTCGTCGACGCGCCTCGGTTTAACACCCGTAAAGCTGTGCCGGACCGTCGCGAAATGTAAACATGAGAAACATTAACTTTTTCCCCAATTGCTCGATGAAGATATAAAAGAAAAGAAAACAAGTGATCGGCTTCGTTGACCGTCGATGTTGCGTGGTGTTGCGGACAAGACCAAATTATCCAGTTGGGCGGACTTCGGTGCTGGTTCTGCTCTTTAGCGATTTTTTCACAAGTTGGAAAAATAGGTTACCAAAAGATAGGTTAGTGACAATAACCCCTTGTAAATCCACGGATTTTCGTACAAACCGCGGTGTCGATAAAACCATCTCCGGTAATTATATCTAGATATGGACCGCGAAAAAACATCATCCCGGAGCAATTATCACGTACATGATTACACACATCCTCTCATTTTTACGTACATGTGGGCAGTGGTAAATTTTTCTCATCGTAATTTAGCCTCGCGTCCCTCCTTGCTTCCCCCAAAAAATCGCGAGGATTCCTTCTTCCCCCAGCTTGGCTTTTTTAATCGACTCGCGCGAGCACTCGGACGAGAGTACAACAGATAGGGAGGATACGTGTGTACAGCTGTTTTGGGTGGTCCTCGAAAATATCAAGCAGCTGGGAGGGGGGGGGGGGAAAGGATAAACGAGCCGAGGGGACAGGGAAACGCGGAATCGGTAGTTACTGCCCGCGTGCCTGTGCACCGGAATGCGGCCGATGTCTCTATCCGCGCTCCCTTTGTGTGTGTCCCCCCCCCCTCGCGCGGGTGCGTGCAACTCTTCCGTGGCCCTCTCGACCACACGAATCGATAATTACGCGAACGAGGAATGACTTTTAACCGAGGAGCGTCTTTTCCAACCGAAAGGTGACTCCCCCACGGCGACCGGTTTTCCGTTTTCGAGTACTCGAGTTTGTACTCGCTTTGCTTTTCTGGCTAAAGCCGACCAACGGTTCAGGTGATCAGTTTTTTTTTTGTTTTTTTTTTTTGTGATTCCCGTCTGTTTTGCCTCTCTCCGTTTGGAAGTAACGAGTTTTACCTTCAACTATGCGCGTAACTACAGTGCGAGATTTTAGGCGATTCTTATCATCCACTTTGACGGTGATCCTAATCGTGTTGGTTGGGTACACCCACAATATAGACCAGATTGATTTGTCCCGGTAGCATAACTTAAGCGTACACTCAGTTTTTGTAGTATTTTTAGACACGAGAGTGTTATTTTTCAACACGACTTTAGAGCTCTTCGGGCACTACTTTTTTCCGGCTCTATATATTTACAACAACTGGTCGCTTTTGTTTGGATGAGTCCATTAATTGTATGTGTACAACAACAATTAATAATAATACTATTGGCACATCTGATTGAAGGTGCGTTAAGCGGATGGAGTCATTGTTTCAGCTCATAAAAACCAGCCGAGTCTAAAATAGCCCAACGCCCAGCATATTGCGTTCAACTTTTTTTTTTTCTTGTTTAGCGCTCGGATGAATAAAACGGGAGAAAAAAAAAACGTAGGAAGAAATTCATCATGATAAAAAGCCATAAATTTTGCATCGCATGCTCGCGAATACGGCCGAGTTGTATAAATATTCAAGCGTTGGTCTGAAATTTTTGTGATTTATCGTTCATTTATCTAATTATGAGGCTTACCCCCACAGATCGGCACGGTAATGTTGACAGGTGCAGAGATATATGTCTCGCGTGGTCTAGTTCGAAAAAAGGAGGCGAACTTTTCACTCCTTTTATTTTCATTATTCGCTGTGACACGGACAGGAAAATATGCAAAAATTATGATAGAAACAATGAAAGTAAATAGCTCGAGTTTAGCGAGACAGTCGTGTTCTATACAGCCGCTTGTGGTCACTTGCTTGTAAAAATGCGTTTCGAGATCTAAGTAGGATTTTATTTGTTTATCTACATTGTAGCATCGGTTGAGCAAAAGTTGTCTAAAAACTAACCGAGTCATACGCGCAAATGTGATTTTTGTAAAAAGTGTGCGTTTTGAAATTTTGTTGGATTGCATTAGAAATGGTGAAATGACATAATTTTTTGAATTAAAATATTTGCGTTTTGACACGTAATGTGGCGTTATGATTTATTGACTTGTGATTTACGCCGAGAGTGCATTGCTTGCGTATCTTAACAGAGTCAAGTCATTAATAGGCATAGAAAGGTGTTGAGTCTCGCGTTCGGAGTATATACGTCATGTTGAGAGATTTTGAATTTTCACGATACTTTTTTGTGGGTAGATGAACGTTTTCGATGTTGACACTGAATTTTTTAACACATTACCTAAATGGGTATTATAACAATCTTTTGATTTTGCGCGATTCTGAAAAATAATTTGATAGGATGATAGTTATACAATTTATGGTAAATCACCCTTTGCATGAAAAAATTGTTTTTAAATTTATTTCTTATACGCAGTCGAAGGATATTCTAAAAAAAATAGATTATATAAAGACCAAAGTGCCGATACAATTGATGGTAAAAAAATTCTTGCAAAAAAAAAAAAAAAAAAATAGATGAAAAAAAATTAATCCAATCAATTAAATTTTTTAAAAATTCAAAGTTTCATAGACTTGTCTAATCGCAAATTTTTAAAAATAAACGGCCTAATGCCCTTGGCTGCTTGTTTTTTTTCTCAGATGACTCAAATGAAAATGTGAGCAAACGTGCTTTTTCTGAAACATATTTATCAAGCAAATTCAACGTGACTATACGCGTGATTTCTTTAGAGTTTCCATTTCTCGCTTCTCAACTTGTTTTACCAATGCATAATAATATGTTGTACTCACAGTGTTTCGATTATTGTCAATATTATTCAATATCATGTTTACATTGTTTTCGAGTACCAATGAAATTTTTGCGATGATTCGATGCGCTCACCATCACGTGAGTTTATTTACAATTGATTGATATTCAGCGAATAAAAATGCATGAGCGCATTTTTTTCGTAAATATTAAGTACAATGCCACTTTTTTTTTTATTACAGATTCATTTAAACGTCAATCAATGTTATATAATCACCCTAAGGTTAGTGTTACCTGAGATACTGACTATAAAAATGGAAAATTAATATAATATTTTAACCAAAATTAGAAATATACTTTCGTTTGTACATCGATGAAATATTTCACTCGCAATCTTCTTCATACAAATAAATGTACCAAATTTCTCTATAGATAAGAAGCTACTATCTTATCTTTTCTGTATAAATGACACTTTGGGGTTATTGGGCTAGGAGTCTTCTACTTCAACTTTGAAGCCATGAATTTCAAATGGAAGTAAAGTACTAGGCTAAAAAAAAATTCTTTAAAACAATGATGTTTTCATTTTTGACACACAAGAGTAAAGTGGTAAAAACTTGACTAATAATTTAGTAATTGCCAATACATCGATTTCAGAAAACCAAATATCATGTAGAAAATTTCATTTCCAAAAAAACCCGCATCAACTCTTGACTTACATGTAACAGACATGATTGTTTTCGTTAGACATAAATTTTTCTTTGAAAGCAATATGCCGACCCTTAACTCTTTTGAGACAATAAAGTGGAGGTGCAGGTATCACCTTATTCTCGATAAGAAAAACAAAATAAATATTATGTGCGTGTCATTTAAAATCTGTTAAATAATGCAGAAAATATACTAGAAAGTCCAGAATGTTATTCACACTTCCACGTATCACCAAATCGCATCATGTCAATGTTAATGAGTATGTAATGACAACTAAATTGGTACGTCATTAAGTATTTAAAAATACCATATCAGTACAATTAATCGTTTGTTCTGGTTCGCACTACGTAGGTTTACAAACTATGTGTTCCAAATTTAAACTACCAAATGTAATTAGTACTGATATGATAAAATATACAAATTTCAACTCCATACTTTATACATTCCATTACTGGATTTCGTTAATAACAAAACAAAACAAAACTGGTATTTTAAATTGGTTACAAATCGGATATCTCATAATGTATAAGCTAAAAAGATAACACCGATTACGAAATAAGGTGTATCATTAGAAGATTATGTGTCCCACCAATTACATGTTCACGAAAGATGACCTCATTAACTATATACTAATGCACGAGTTTTTCAAAATAAACGAAAACCATTGATTGCGTGTCTAACGATCAACTAATGTGAAAATAAGAAAGTCGAATGCTTTAAAATCCACCCGCAAAACATGTTTTTCTATGAAATTCGTGAAAATGGGGTTACAAAGCTCTTAAAGCCATGCAGTTTTTTGTGAGAAATCCCTAGAGTTTGTTTTCCTATAGCCGTCGTTATCTCCTCAATGAAGACGAAAACAAATGCGTGGATGCAATATCGACAGGAAATACAAACACACGTGTGAGCACCTCCCTGGTGGAGCCATTACGTCAGTGTAACACCACTAATATGCCCAACCGATGATGATAATGCACGGGAAGTATATAGCGTAAGTATAAAAAAAGAGGCGTCGCGGCTGATTCATCCGTGAGGGAGCGGGTCGCGCGCTTTCTAGGTCTG